CAGTCACATTCGACATCCATTAAAATCAAACATGTGTCCACAAAACAAGGTTGATCTAGGACACCCTCCATCCAGTCTGTTTTTGCCAGTCTACACAAAAATGGGAAAAACACAGGGAAGGTAGTGATTTTTTTAAAAGTTAAATTCACTCCATTTTAAAATAGTGTAATTTATTCTAAAATTATGTCCTTCCTATTTTTGGTGTTACATGCTTTTTATTTTACCAGTAAGAGTAAACAGTAGTTGATTTCTTAATATCTCAACTTGGCAAAATAAGAAGTTAGCACCTCTATATTGGTCCGTGAATTAAAAAAAACAAAACAAAAATAAAAGAGCTGAAATACAAAAATTTGGCTAGCTCTGCCTGGGAATGAGTTACCTGCTGTTAGAAACTCATAAAGAGGAGAGACCTATAGGGAGCATGTCATCAAACGTTCTCTAATAAGACACAACGCTTCATTTCCACATGGAACGCAAAAGGATTTCAAGCTATGGTAATAAATGGCGTCTCCAAACTCAGCTAGAAAAGCATGATGCCGTCTAAAATCGAATGAAATGTAGATTCTTAAATGCTACAAAACATACATTTATATTGCCATTCTTCACAAGGTAGAAAGCATTTTAATTAAAACCCAGAGGGCATGCAAAGACAATATAATCCAGTAGACACAGGCGAAACAGTAAAGGATAGAAACCCTGTTTACTGGCTTTCCACGTGTAGGCCCTCTGTATAAAAGATACAGATAAACATCAATTCTGTATCTGCGGACAGACGGCAAAGGATTTAACCATCCAGTTAACTCAAGAACCCAGGTGTCACCAACCATGGCACTAGCTGACAGAGGTGGGGATGTGGGAGAGGGGAGGGGAGTCAGAAGGCCTAATACTCTCAGTTTTTTAATGGGTACTTGAGTGGTGTTCTTTATGGTTAAGGGAATAAGAAATGAAATTTTCAAGAAGGTGTTTGAGATGTGAGCAACGTCCTTGAAGAGGACCAGGAAGGGTGACCTCTCCACGGAGGGAAGGAGCTCGGGGGAGAAATGGGGCTGAATAAGGGGGAGAAGTGCCATGTACCCGGGAACGAAGTCAACAAAACAAATGTTTATAAACTGAGAAAGAGTGACGTTAGGGGTTGAACTGTGCCCCCAAAGATACGTTCCAGTTCTAACCCCGGTACCTGCGAATGTGACCTTTTTTGGACACGAGTTCTTCACAGATGTAATCAAGTTTAGAGGAGGTCATCGGAGTGGCCTCTCATCCAATGACTGTTGTCCTCATAAGTGGGAAACACCACACGAAGGCAGAAACACAGGGAGAACGTTCCCAACCACACAGGCCGAGACTGGAACGAGGCAGCTGCCCACCAAGGTCCACGAAGGATGGACAGCCACCACCTGAGGCTGGAAGACAGAGAACAGCTCCCTCCCGCCTCCACGCCTGGAGCCTTCAGAGGGAGCATGGCCCTGCCGGCTCCTCGATGTTGGACTTCCAGTCTCCAGAACCAGGAGAGAATTTATAAACGCCTATGCTGTGAAGCCACCCTGTCTGTGGTACTTAGTTACAGCTGCCCTAGGGCCTCAGTCCAGCTGGTATATTTACGTTATTTAAAGAGATGAAGATAATCACCCAAAGAACTTCTTAAAAGCGTGGGAGGGATAAAGGCATTGCCTCTGGGAAGTGGGTCTAAGGGAGCAGAGGGGCAGCATCTGTGTATTAAACAGCAGAGGGGCTGTTACTGTGTATTAAACACCTTTTGCACTATTTGGCTTTTTAACCACACGCATGTGTTACTTTGATCTTGAAAAGGCATAAATAAAATATCCACGGGATGGCATCAGAGCAAAACCTGGTCAGGTTTCTCTGTAGACTGATGGCCATGTCCTCCGCCCGGCCTCCTGCCTCGCCCCCACCCTTGCAGCGGACACTCCCCGGACACTGTCCCCGTCTGTCCTCAGGGACTCACAGCGGCTGAATGTCTGTGCACATGTGCACTCACATGCTTGCCAGCCCCCACTCAAGTATTTTTGGACTTTTTGTGGGTTTGTATCATCGATGACAGTAATTGTGCCCATTGACTTGGATGATTAAGCATTGACTACAGTGAAAACAGAGAACCTCAGGGAGCTCGTCACTGGCCTTTTTTGTGGATTAACACTCAAAACAATGCCTGACAAAGATTTCAGTGATTAGGCTACACGGTATCAGAAAACCTCACAATAGAGCTTAATCATAATCGTTTGCTCATCCGATTTTATTTAACCCACAAAAAGAAATGCTGAGTGATCCCCGGTGGCCTGGATCAAGTTGGATCTGTGATGCGGGCGGTGACTTACCCGGATGGACGGACGGGAGAGGTCCCATGCCCTCTGCTCGCTCTAAGAAGAATGGTCACATTGAGCCCAGCAGCCTGTGATGTTGTGGCAAAATGTGTAGTCACCTCCCACATGAACAGGCCTATTGATGACCGTAGAACCTAGAGTGAGACCAGGACAGCGGGGCAGTGTTCCCAGCTCGCCCTGGGAGGGAAACAAGGCAGAAGACAGATGCGGTGTGTGTGCACCAGAGGCCCCCGCGCACGTCCACGTGCACACGGCTCCCGCACAGCTGGGGAGCACCCTGTCATGTGCTGGCCCTGAGGCTGTGCCAGGTGGATGAACACCCAATGAAATGTCTCCCCGCCATCACGCAGGGGAGCTCGCAGGGAGCAGAACAAAGGGGCAGCATCTCAGCAGGACTAGGATCCTGACTGCAGTCAATGCACCTCCCCCGGGGAGGTGGGGACGGCTTTTCTTTTCATCCCAGTGTTCAGTTTCCGGTAACACGTGCCAGCCACCCAGGAGGTTACCTTCCGGGCCTTCCTGGCTCTCAGACATCCAGACCTAGCGGATGTGGTCCCTTCCACATTGCAGGTGGCAGGGTCACCCCCAACAGACTTCCCAAGACACAGATGAATTGTGCTCATGAGAGATCAAGTCACAGTTTGCAAAGCCACTGCCTGTGTGACTCTATACTGAGCAGAAGGAATAGAAGGGCTCAATTTATATTATGTGACCTTTTGCGGAGCTCTTCCTCCAGCGCCGCGTACAGAAGAGAGGGTGGGTCCCTTCGAAGGGACCCCATTCAAGCCCACACATCTGCCTTTTCCCCCTTCTTGCTTTTAAAACATCACTTTCTCAGCATATCGTAATGAAGACCAAACCCTGAGACTCAGATGTTCCAGAAACCTGAGATATTAGATGTGTTTTGATCACATCTGGCCCTTTCTCATCTGCTTTGCTCTTGGTCACATCAGCACGGCCAGAAACCAATTCTGTCTTTTCAGTTATGGCGTAAGCCTAACAAGTCTGTCCCTAGAGCACCTAACCATGGACTGTCTCCCTTTCCTCATCCCACACACACACACACACACCACACACACACGCACACACACGCGCGCGCACATGCACGCAGCAACGCATCAAGTGAGGACACGGGCAGAGTAACTGAGAAAATGCCAACACCCTTCAGACAGCCAAGCTCTGGATTCATTAGGCAAACTGTTTAAGAGGCACATGATCGATAGCTTCACAATCTTGTTATGAAAAGAGATTTTCGTAGCTATTGTTCTACAGAACTTCCTTACACAATAGGGTACCCCTGTGAGGAGCTGCCTCGTTCAGGAGCCAGGCTCACCCCGGTCAGCAGGAGAGGGTGATGGCACTGACCCCGAAGGCACAACCAAACTGGGCTGGTTCCTTAATCCCTAGGAATGAAAACAACCTAGCTTCTTAAGGATCAGACTTACAACCAACGAGGCTCCACATTATGTAAAACTCACCAGGGAAAAGGTGACTATTTCTTAAAGATATCCAGCCAACTGATTTTCAAAATTAAAAGAAAAATGGGCCAAGTACTGCCTATCTCCTCCCGTTCCCCTGACAGATGATGGGGACTGATGAACCAGGAGAAATTAGAGGAACAATATAACTGTATAAACAAGAAGAAAGAAAATGAAAAAGAAAAATAAACATGAGTTGGATCAGGGGCAAAAAAAAAAAAGGCAAAACAAGCAGAAATGATCTTTTGATAAGAACAGTATTATATAACCCAGCGCCTCTAAAGTGGAAAGCCACTTTGCCCTACAAATCACTTTTCCACAAAGAATTAAAAGAAGCAGAATGAACACAAAAATCAATTAAGGTCCGGAGAAGGGTTCCATTCCCCCTCCAGCGGCTCGTTCTTATCCAAACACTAATGCAGGTACTGTCAGGCTGCCTAGTAAAGGATATTTTTTGTTATCACTTGAGCTAGTCTATCCGGAGAGTGATGTTCCCATTTAAGTTTGCAAGGAAAGGTTAAATAGGAGTAGTTCTTCCCTTAGAAAATGACAGTGTATACCAGTGCTTAAGGCTCCTGGGGCCTCCATGGTGTATCGGCTTCCACGGCGCCCTCCTGGCTGCACCAAGGACCAGCGGCTGGCGTGTGGCTAAGACACAGCCTCTTCCTCCAAGGGTGAAAGCAACGCCATGGTTCCAACAATTCCGGACAGGAACAAGGTAGACTTGGAGAACACCAGCGCTGCGCTCGGCCCACAGCAAGCATGAAATCAAAACTCACTGAAGGCATGAGGGGCGAGAAACACCTCTCTGACCCGAAGTGATAAAACTCCAGAGCCAGGGAGCTCCTTGTATGCGCTACAGGACAGCCACGCAGTGCAGTCTCACCTCAAACTCTATTTGCCAAACAAGTCAGAAGAAGCGATCGCCTTGAAACTTACACAGAAATGTACACATTCTTGGGGAGTGGATCACATGTTTATTATTCTATCTATGCCATTTGGAATGGGGTGATACATTTTCTGAAAAATAAATGAAAGTGTCCTACTTGGTCTTACAAAACTGAATTGTTGTAATATTGGGTTTGCCTACAGATGAGAGGGCATACACTTACCTTCTTTGGAGCAAAAGTACAAAGACTCTGTCCAAATACCAAATAAAGGGAAATGAACAGAAGTGCTTTGGTGTTATGGGTATTTGTTACCAATTAGGTTGTTGCTGATCTGGCTGATGGACCCGAGGATGTGCAGATGAGGTCGGTGACAATAAAAAACTGGAGACAGGGAGCTCACGCCAGGGTCACAACTCAACCTCCTGTTTAAATGGCGGATTTTTGACCAAATTAGGCCTTCTTGGACCTCCAGGGTAGCCCTTCTGCACTTCCAGGAAGGAGGTGGCTAAGTGGCTATTTTGGTCTGTCTGCCCATCTGGTCCCTTTGTATCTGGCTGGCTCACGGTCAGGCCAGCAGATTAGGTGCCGCTGCTCTGAGCAGCCGTCCATCCCACTAGGACACGGGCCACTCATGACACAGAAGAGACCCAACAAGACGTCCCGGAGGAGGCCCCCCCACCCCCACCACGCAAGTGCAATTCCAGGCGGTGGGGTCCGGGGCACCCGGTCATTTACAAAGGGGAAGGGACATCAGAACTCGACGGCAGAACAGGCACCGGACTGTGGTCCCCAAATAAAGAAACTCACATCAACAGGGAGTATAAAAATGTTATTTAGAGCTTCTGTTCTCAGATGTTTGACACAAAGGAGAGACTGTTGCGCCAGGGAACAAAGTGATCCAGTCTTCACAAAGCAGGAATTCTCCCGCCGCACATTTTGTTTCCAAAACACTGAGGACTACAGCAAGTTTTCCAGTTGGGGTAAAGAAGCTACTTCTGGAAGCAAGAGAGGAGATAACTGAGGACTTTCACGGAGGGGCTTAAAGCCTTCCAAGAAAATGCACAGTGGGTGTCAGCATTTCGGGGCGGCCAGTGCGGATGGTGAGCAGACTGATCCCCAAATATGTGGAATGCGTATGGGCTGGGGGAAATGTGGGCTGAGGGTTTTTAAAGCGACAGAACCTTCTAGTAACATACCAAAGGGACCCCGAGTGTTTTTTCAAAGTTAACCCTTTGAGCCCAGGGTTTCAGGTGGTGCCAGTGTAATCGTACTTCCACTGGGCTCGCAGCCAGGAAGGAACAAGCAGAGCTTCTTTCCTACATATTTTTAAAACCTGTTTTGTTACCTGCAGGGGAGTCAGGTGGTAAGGAGCCTTTTTTTAATCAGGGTGGGAGCCAGGGAGCAGGACGAGGGAGGGGGGTGACCTTTCTCTCTTGAATGTTTGGCATCTGAGCTGCAGCACAGAACTTCAAGCCCAAATCCCCAACCAGAAACTCAAGGCTGTCAACCCATTTCTCTTCTTTTTATGTCATTATTTGTGTGTTTTCACTGAAAACAGTCACATCGCCGTTTATCTCCCTCTCGTCTTCACCAGACTGTACGTTTCTGGAAGGAAATGCAGTATGGCCAAAGACCTGGGGATTTGGAACCAGGTTCACCATCTTAATTCAGCTCTGCCATCACTATGGGATCAATGAGAACTACTCTTCAATTCAACTTCTTTACTCATTAAATCAGAATAAAGATGCCCTAGTTTGGGGATTGTTGCAAGTCTCAAATGTAAAATTATAAGCAACATGCTCTACACATAGATGGTCCTCCCTTTGAGCTCAGGGGCTGTGACTTAATTCACCTTGGTATCCAACCCCCACAGCACTTTGCCCTTGAACCCTCTCCCTGGCCGTGTGCTAGCACGATTCGGATTAGTCATGATTAACATTTGATACGCCTCACCATAAAACTCGACACTTGTGCTCCAAGCATTGTTTTACTAATGGCAAGGATAGTGGCAAAACCCAATGTGAGGGGACCTTCCTGTTTTGCTGTATCTCCTACCACTGGAACGTCAAGGGGACACTGTTAAAATTAAGTATACAAAGGAGATACTTAAAGAGGCAAAGAGGGAGTTAAAGAGAGAGAGAGAGATGAAAGCCAGGAAATGAGGGCTTCATTCTCAGCTCTGCCTCCAAGGTACCAGCGGCTTTGAACAGCCTGCCTCATCCGAAACCTTTTCTAAGGATTTAGCATCTAGGAGTTAGCATCTCTGACAACTAACTGCAATTTTAGTAAATAAATATTAACAGAAGCTGACATGATGGAACTTTTTAGGGTGATCGTCCCCTAAAAACTTACCACCTGGGATTAGCCCTTCTGTATGGTCCACGGGAACGGAGACCAAGCCAGCTGACTTATGGCTCTTACAACCAAGACCTGCACCCCAGGCCTCTCACTTCTCCCCACCCACCTGGTCACAGTCTCTTCTGGGCACGTAGCATGAGGAGTACACCACAGTGAGTCCTGTCCGTGTGTGACAGACAACAGGGCAAGGCATCGCCCGCAGAGTCACAGCAGGGGGAGAGGCCACTGTGCACACAGCCAGTGAAGACTGTCCACAGAGGGGAAGGCAGAGGCCAGGGACCTACAGGGCAGGGGCTGCAAGGTGGCTCAGAGGAAGACCTCGGACTCTCACTGATGATCCGTGGAAAGAAACAAAGCTTCAAGAGCCGGCAAGGCGCCAGGGCTGGGGGAACAGCTGCGTGGCAAGTGGGGACGCCGTGCAGAAGCACCTGTGGCACTCCAGGTGGCTCCAGCCAGAACTCCAGGCCTCTCCCTCTTGAATCAAAACAAACAGTGAAGCAATCAAAACGAGCACTCATGCACTTCCAGCAGAGCCCCGGACGGACGCAGGGTGGGAGAGGGGCCGGGCGGGGCAGGGCATGGCAAGAGGAATGCAGAGGAAAGAGAAGAAAGGGCTTCTGTGCTCGTGCAACTGTTATGGAAGCTGGAGAGAAATAATAACACCGTAAAGGCAGCCATCGGTAATCAAACACAAAACACTTCCCTGTGTTGCTGCATTTGATTGTCAGAGTAACCCTAGGATGCAGAGCTTAATAACCCATTTAAAGATGTCACTCAAAGATATAGAACCAGTCAGAGATGAAACCGGGGCTAAAAGTGAGGTCAGTCTGACTCCATAATCTGTTTCCAAGCTCTTATACTCTGCTGATTCCCTCTCTGAAGCAACTTCAGGCCTACATGCACGCACGTGGAGGGGAACTGTTATCATCGAGGCGTGGGGCAGCCGGCCAGCCTCCCTGTGACTCAAACGCCACAGGCTGTAAAAGAAAAAAAGTGATAAATCTGATTACATGAAAATAAAAATTTTCTGCCTGGGGAAAATACAGCATAAACCAAGACAAAAGACAAATGACAAACCAGAGAACGACTGGGTACATAAATCACTGACAAAGGCTAATTTCATTCATATATAAGGAATGCCTGTAAATCCATAAGGAAAGATCCAACAAAACCAAATGGGCAGCCAGCTGACAAAAAAAATCAAAATAGTTCACAAACATTGAGAGATACTAAACTTTATCACAGTAGGAGAAATACAGATGAAACAATGTGTTTGGATTGGTGAACATCAAAATGTTTGATTCTACACGCATTGGTGAGGGCGTGAGGAAAGAGGCACTGTCATAAATTAATAATGAGAGACTAAATGGATACATCCGCTAGGAAGGCAGTCCGGCACTATCTATCAAAATTATAAACGTCCTTCCCCTCTGACCCAAAATTCCAATTCCAGGATTATATCCTGCAGATAAATTCACCCGCGTGCAAAATGATGCCCGTAGAAAGCCAATCTTTGCAGCAATGTTTGGAGCAGCCAGTCTGAGAACCATGGAAATAGCCAACAAAAGGAGACGGATTAAATAAATTATGGCATCTCCCTATAATGGCCTATTATTTGGCCATAAAAGAGGAGAGGAAGCTCTTAATGTGTTGATATGGAGCAAGCCCCAAGGAATATCGCTAAGCAAACAAAGCAAAGTAAGAACGGCAAGCAGAATACGCTGTCGCAAATGTCAAAACAAAATTCTATGGCGTAGACATATGTATTTGTGTGCTCCCCCTGCAAAGACAAAGAGACTGGTAACACTAGGTGCTTCCAAGGAGACGGGAGGTCAGTGACTGGAAATACAGGGGTGGGAGGGAGACTTCCTTGTCATGGTATGTTTTGTGTCTTTTGAATTTATGTACTGATGCCTATTCAAAAAAACAAGTTATATAGACACGTATAGGTATATAGTGCATACAAATCAAAATCGAGTGCCAAACAGTGGTGAAAGCTGCCTTCTGAGAAAAACTGGGCTAATGAAAAAGGTCCTTCATCACTCAAAGAAAGTCTCATCCATAAAATGGGGATAATAATCCTTCCTTCCTCTTGTGGTTCTGAGAAGTAAATAATGAATATAATATAAAGCCCTCAGACCCGTGCCTGGCACACAGCAAATGTCCACAAGTGTTTGTTACATAAGTGACATCTAAGCTGAGATCAGAAACATCAGTAGGAATTAGACCAAGAAGAGGGAAGCAGGGGCAAGCCAAATGTGCCACTCAGCAGCAACAGCACGTGCAAAGGTCAGGGGGTAGGAAAGCGCACTGCTGTGCCGAGGGCATCCTGGGAGGAGGGGGTAGAGAAGAGACAGAGCTGAAGGAGTGAGCATGGACCAGTCTGGACAGTTTCTCTGCAGGGGACAGACAGCAAGTGGAGCATTTCAGGCAGGGGAATTCCGTGATTGGACAGGCTTTCCTAGAAAGAGTTCTCTGGCAACATTCTGGAGGACAAGTTGGAGAGAAGCACAAACTGGGTGGCAGAAAAGCCACTTAAAGACTGTTATAGCAATCCAAGAAGAAATGATGAGGCTGTGAGCCAAAACGACGGCAGTGGGGAAGTAAGGGAGGAAGGGCTTGGGAGACACAAGGAGGCAAAATCACCGGACTTGGCGACCTGGTCGCGAGAAGATGGAACCAGGCATCATTCCCAAAGTTCTGACTTGGCTTATGTGAAAGACCAAGATGTAACTCACTGAGATAAAAACTTCAGAAAAGGAGCTCGTTGGGGATGGAGGTAAATGTCTCCTACATAATCCATAGTTAGCTACAGGTATCTAAACCTCAAATGATGGGCTCGGGCTGGAAACACAGCTTCAGGTGGTAGCAGACAAATCTGTAATATTTAAAAGCTCTGGATGATGGTTAAGGCAGCAGCCACCAAGTGGCAATGGTCCCTCTGGTCCAAGTAAGAGACTTTTGAGAAGAGACATTACCTGTGATGCAGGTAAGACCTATGCTCCTCCTCTCTTTTCCTCTCCTCCCCCCCCTTATCCTCCCTCCTCTCACTTCTTCTCTCTTCCCTTTCCTCCTTCCTTCCTAAAAATAGAATAAAAGCCCTCACAATAGGTTTCCTTAAATGCTTCACGTAAAGCAACCCATTTGTGACCAGTCCCAGCCAATCTGTGCTGCTGCCTTTGTTGCTGCCAACACTGCTGCCCTGCTTTTCTCTCTACACACAGCGGAAGCCACTAGGAAGCTGTCTCTGTCCTGTGGGTGCATCTCCGCGTGACGAGGAGCATCCCTGAAGACCTCATTTTTCCACACGTCTGTCTCAACAGCTGCATGGAATAGGTGTTTCTTAGAAAGGGCATTCCGCGGTTTCCTCTCCCGCTGAGGGGGCTTCGGCAAAACCCGTCCCACGTAAAGACCACCTACCGAAGAGTCTTACTAGGAGATCTTAGAACGGACTTCTGAAAGAGCGTACAGTTTTCTACTAAAAATCGAGTCATGTTTAAGCAAGATTTCTGGAACAACTGAGTCAGGATTCCGGGGCCAGGATTTGAGAGTTGCCAACTCTGTCACTCACTCACTCAACAATCCCAAACTTCTCTCAGCTTCTGTTTCCTCACCTACAAAATTGGGATCAACTGCTAGACCACCTCCATGTCTCCTTCTGGCTCTAAAATTCTGTGAATCTAGATTTGAGGGAGGATTGAAATTGGTTTCATGACTGTGGAATGTTTCAACAATTCAAAAGTGCCATTAAACATTCAAGGCCACTTCATTTTTGGAGACCAGTTGATTTCCTGATTGGACAGAATAGAACTATTGCAACTGTGTCATTCACCGACTCGGTTACCGTGGCACACGTGCTCATCCCAAAGGGAAACCCCAACTATTACAGCGCAGCAAGTGTGGCTCACTTCTCAGATTTCATACTTGCCAAAGAAGCCACCTCTTTGCCTGAAGAAACCACAGCTAGGGACTCTCAGGGGAGAGAAAATGATACACAAGGCATGGATTATTAATCAGTCTTTAACTATGTAAATTACAGGCTTGCCTTTTTCAAATGAATGTAAGATAGAAATTTCGGTCTACCAAGAAACGGATAATGTATTTTCCCACTTGTAGAGATTTATGTGAGAACAAGCCAGGGATACACACAAGGAGACTCACCTGATAACAGACTCACTGGCTTCTCGCCCCCAGAGGGGTCAAGGGATCACCCTGATAAATTCAGTTATTACAACAAGGCAACAGTCAGTACAGCCACCAGAGATTTCCAGGTACAGTTCAGCACAAAGAGAAATATCAAGAGGAAGGTGGCCATTTTCTACCTAAAAGGGCATTTTTTTCATCATGTCTGTCAAAATGCAATTTCCCTAGAATCTGTGTACTTTCAGTAAAAAGCAACA